AAATATAGTTTTCATTTCATTTTCCAAAAATGTGGAAATTGTCCATTGTTTCATTTTTTTTTAACATTTAACACTGTAGGTCAGATCATTTAATATGAAACAAATACATTTTAATAACAAGAGGCTCCCTGTAAATAAATGAACACTAGCTAACTACTTTTTTTAAATTTTTTGACTGTATTCTGGTGCTTATAACTCATTCAGGAAGTGGTGAAGATCTTTCCAAAAAGATTGTACTTTTTTTTGCACTAATAAGTAATAGCAAACCAAATGGAGTCTTCATTTTGTATACAACGTTTAATCCACTTTATTTTTATCATCCCACCGCTCATAACATCAAAATGACCTGTATAACTAGCTAACCATTAGTACAACAAACGTTAGCTAACTAGTTTTATATTTCCTTACCAGCTGATCACTGATGATTAAAACTGTTTTCTGGAGCTTCTGGTGCTTTTAACACATGAAGCCTTTCTCCAACAGGTCCGTGAGAGGAGCAACTAGAAGTCGCTGTTGAGTTGCCATGACAGCAGAGTTAAACTTTCGCTTGACAAAAATAAAAAGTTTGACTGTTCTTGTATTTCTGGAGTATAAAATAAAAACAGGACCAACACCCATTTTTCAATTTTCAATATTAGTTTTTAAAAATAAGAATATGACGAAAAAGTACATCTGCTGTGTTAAAGCATTTGTAAGTGATCATGGATATAGCGCCCCCTTTGCTCCCTTCTCTCTATAGGGCTCTGGAGGAAAGTAGCTGTCTTTTTTCTTATGGTTTTCTTGTGATAAAGAGGACCCTGTTTACAAGTTTAGAGACAGAAAGTGTCTTAACGTGGAAATCAGCATAACAACCTTTATGTTTAAAGAAATAAACATATGATAATATGTCATTATCATGAAATGTTGTGCTCAATAAAATCATGCAAACGTATAATTTTTTGTGTGGTATAAGTTTAAGCAGACTATGTTTGTCTATTGTTGAGACTTAGATAAAGATCAGAACACATTTAATGACCAATTTATGCAGAAATCCAAGTTATCTGAAAAACCAAAACAGTAATTTTATTCTGAAACTCAGAAGCTTAGTTCATTGATCTGGCTTAGTATAAGTCATGTGTGAGTCAAGTGTCTGTCTGAGGTTACTCAACCCAGACACCCGTGATTACCATTAAATACCCAACACCAGACATACACGCAATGAGGTTTGATGTTGTTGTTTTGATGTTTGTGTAAATGGAAATTCTAAAAAAACAAAACAAAAATGATGCTGTAAACCCAACATAGTTCCTATGCCATTCTAAAGTGTCCTTGTTTTAAAATCCTATTGTTTTAGTTTCTGTATTTTGAAAGGACATTAACGCTTTAGTGATTGTAAAATAGTTCTGTATGAAAGGACAATGTGTCACCATGCAGTGGATTATCAAATTTTCCAGGATTATCAGCTGCTGTCTCAACACATGACTGTCAGACAAACACAAACATGTTTTTGTCTATTTTAAATCAACTGCAAACAAAAAACATGAACATTCAGATAAGCAACTACACCTTCTTCCCTGATTTTAATAGTTCAGTAGTTTTCATTTAGTATTTAAAAC